GAAACATAGGACATGGTGGTGAGGGGGGCACTGTCACCAGAAACCCCCCTTTCCTCTTCCCACTCCCCTCCCTCCCTCCCTGCCATCTCCCCCTCCCTGCCAGCTGTTATTGGGGGGGCAGGAGGGCAGTGTGGTGGCTCCCTCACACCCTTTGTCCATAACGCTCCAGGCCCTCACAGCCAGTTGGTGCACACCTTCTCAGCAACACACGCACAGTTGGCCCAGAGCCTTATGGACAGACGGACAGGCTAAGACTTTTATTATATTAGAATACATCATCAAGCATAAGCTTTGCTTCACACACCTTAAACCACATTTAAAGCCTGTGCACCTGTCCACAGTCTTTTCCCTAACTCAGTCACAGTCTCTTAGTCATAGCCCCCATTTGGGGTTTACAGTCTCAATTCATTCACTGTCCTTGTCACTGTTGCTTCCACTACTGCTGATGCTGTTGCTGTCATCCTCACTGTCTCCAGGTCCAGTTGTGTTGCTGTCCTCTTCATCATCCCTGTCCACTCCTCTTTCTGGGGGGACTTTGAACAGCCTGTGCTGAGTGTCTCTTTTCCAGGTGGAGGTGGCTGCATCTTCTCCATCCTCTCCCACCAATTTCCAGTAGTAGGATGGAGCTCACCCAGAAGCATGTTAACACAGTCTGTTTCCTCAAGTTCCATGTGTCCGTACCTCAGGAGGTTCCTGCATTTCCACAGGGCGCTCCTAATGCAGGAAAATAATAATAATAAAAGAAGTATATGTATCCCAGGCCAAATTAGCCAAAACTAATTCCAGATCCAAGAGTCTAGAACCGTAAGTGGCCCTACTACTGACAAACATCCTCCACCCCCATCTGGGGCTTCAGATGTTTCCAATTCCTTTGGCAGGCATCCTACTTGCAGTGTTGAAGAGTTCGTGACCCCTTGCGGAGCTGTTCCCAAAGACAGAGTCGCTGTCAATCTCAAAATTTATTCAGCATGCTGGGCACCCTGAGCGAACTCAGAGGCCCCGAATAAAACTGTTAGAGGCGATTTATAGTTTACAGACAAGATGCGCGCACAGGTGGGAATTTTCCACTGTGTAAGAAAACGAGATATCAGGTCAGTGTGAGAAAATTCTTAATTGTTTTAAAACTGGTTTTTGGCTACATGTTTGTTTTGAAATGGTAACTAATAGGGAGGAAACTTACTTCAGACTTCAAAGTGAATAGGATTCGGTCATTGCAGAGCCTTATCAGCCTGTCCTCGGAGGCTGAGTCTGCTGTAGAAGTTAACTGCTACACTATTATTTATGATCTTGTTAATACATTTCTACAGCAGGCCAAGCCTGGAGGCTTGGGGTTTGAATGCCCCCAAGTTTTGCTTGCCCTTAGCCATAAGGCCATTGGAGCAAGCTAGAGAGTAGACTCCCATTTCCGTAAACTGGACTTAAAGCTGCTATACCTCAACAGGTACTGAACCATGCCAGAAGAGCGGTTCCCCCAAGGTGCACTTTAGGAAAACTGCCTTCATGGACACAGAGACACGGTATTTCCCCTGCCAGGTTAGGAACAGGCAATATACTTGACCTGACCTAACAAGAGCCTGAGAAGCAATACAAGCTGGTTTTTCTTACAGCTACTCACCTTCAAATGGAGAAATGCTTCAGCTTTGATGGCCCAGTTTTCACTCACTCACTGGCGAGTTACAGTGAGCAATAGAAAGCAAATAAAAAGACAACTTATTTGCATACTTATTTGCTGATTTTTTCAGTGTACAATTGTTTTTCAGCAAATACAATAATTTTGAGCTTCGAATATGATAATTTCATATTCAAGAGCTGACAACAGTGGTGTGGTTCCCCTGGGAGAGCGACCACAACTGCAGGGAGCCTCTTGGGGGTGCAGTGGCTGATGCACAAAGAGGCTGCAATGCACTGAGGTGATGCTGTTAGTGCTGCTGCTGCTTGACACATGTTGCCACCTCTGATTGCATCACTTGATGTGATGCAAAAGTCCAGCTGCACCGGCCAGTTGGTGCAAGGCTATGGGAGAGTTCAAGCAGGTTTGAATGTGCAGGAACACCCAAGGGAGACCTGTCCTAACCTGGGAATGGCAAGGTCCTTCCTCTCCAGAAATACATGTCAGGGGAAGGGACTGGTTTCACCATATCATTGTAGGCACAGTCTCATTCACTGCCTTTTCCCCTGGACTTTCATCAGGACAGGAATGACATTTTTTGTTGATTTACATGTTTGGATTGTTATTCCTCCTTACTTCAATGAACAGGGCTTAAAAACAGTCAGGTCACCTTACAGACGTTGAGAATTAAGTTGTCTTCAAGTAGGGAGATGAAGTATAACTTAAGATCCCAAGTCTTGTGCATTGTATGAAACACAAGGGAGACATCTGCCATTCACAACAGATTATTTTTTAAAGGACAGGCCTGATAGCAGGAATCAAGTCCAAACCAGATCAGAAGTGACTGGAGTTGTTATTCTCAAAAAGGCATTTTGACCTAAGAGATGTGTGACAATGCCTTGCTCTCACTGGAGGATAATCTCAGAGCCCTGAATCCATTCCCCACTGCCTTGTTGTGTATGCTCAGTGCTTTCACTAGAGCAGCATTTCTCAACCTGTGGGTCAGGACCCAAAAGTGAATCACAAGAATATATGAAAGGGTGGTGAACTAGAGCTCTGCCAGCCTGCAAGGGAAAAGCCATGGGTTCCCACGTTTTTCTCCTTTAAAGGAGAATCCGGTTTTAAAAGTTTGTTCACGACCCTTTCATATATTCTTGCAACCCACTTTTGGGTCGTGACCCATGAGTTGAGAAACACTGTTCTAGAATATCTCCCTCATTTAATTCTTTATACAATTCAAGGAAGACAGAAACATTCATACCCTAGCATATGATTTTCTTTCCCAGATGCACATCTGTTTGCCAAGTTTAGGTGTTTGTTATGCATCTGAAAGACAAGGATTTTTTAATGGAACCAACTGCATGGCTGGGATAAAGTTAGACAAGCTTTTGAATACAAGATATTCTTTATCAGGTCATTGCATTGGAAAGCTTGTCTAACTTTATCCCAACTGTGCAATTGATCCAATAAAAGCTATCACCCCAACAAATCCTTGCCTCTCACAACTGCTGGACTATCAGGGCTACAACAGCACTCTAACACTAATGCATTTGGCCATTGTGTCTGGGCAGAAAGCTTAACACAAGAGCTGGCTGTCAGCTACCTGTTGCTAGCTAGTCGAACAGGTTAAACTGTCAATAAAGTGACTTTGATTTTCCAGACTACTAAAACATATGACATCTTATACAAACAACATTTTGCATATAAACCTATGACTGATACAAATGGACATAATTCATTGTTAGCTATCAATAAGAGGTTAAACATAATGGTATTAGCCCCCTTGGGGAGGATGTCTGTGTGTGAAAACACAATGTACCCTCCAAATAAACCACTGAAGATTTAGATCCCTTATGACAAGCTGTTTGTGGGGGCCATCCATTTTCTAGTGGACAAGTTTTCCTCATCCCAAAGATCACCACATTCACGGGTAAATCCAGGATTGCAGTGAGGGGAGTGAGGCCACATCCCACTTTGGCTGCGTGGCCCCTGCAGGGCGAGCTCAGCATATGCCATACAGCCAAAGGCAGTGTGACTCCACCCTCCTTGCCAGGATCCTGGATGCCAGTGAATTTTTTGAGTTCCCTAGTGGGTGGCGCTCAGCCCCTGCTTTCACACAGCTCCAGAGCCCAGAGGTCCCCTCTTTTCCCCTGCTGCTGAATTCAGAGGGACCTACAGGGGGAGAGGAGGAAGGGAGGGCCAATCCTGCTGGGCTCCAGAGGTGTGTGAAAGCAAGGGCTGCAGATAGAGCCTGCACTGAGCAGCTGGTCAATCCACAACTCACAGCACATTTGGACCGCTGGCAGGAGCTGTACAAACATGCCAGTGAGCTCGGAGTGCTCACTACCCATGTCCAGCACAAATGAAAGGGGGTATGGAAGTACCGCTACACATCCTCTCCTCGGTATACCCCTGACTACATGTGTCCTCATCCCAAATGATATGTCCGCATCCTTGTTGTGAAACTGCTTTATCTTAAGAAATCACCTCTCCCACAAGTTCTGATTCCTTTTGCCTCTAAACCAATACAGCTACAACCTGGATACCTGACACATGGAAGATATCAAATTTTAGCTGATTTTTTAAATGAAATTTTCATAATTTTACAAGGAAGAAACAAGTTTTACCACCGAGACCCTGCTCCTGCCTTTGCTCAAGGTAATTTGTATCATCACAGAGCTCAGAAATACATCACCATATAAGAAATTCCTGCCCAAAAGAAAACTCCATCCTTTTACTTGCCTGTGAAATATGAAACATCATAACCAGAAGGATATATGACTACATCTTGCTTGCCACCAAACAACTTAGAGGTAAACAGACTATTCCAACTTTTCTCTGAGCCTAACCTGCATAAAATGAATTGTTTCAAACAGGAGATTTTACCACACCTTTAACTCTCCTATAAAATATGAACTTTCATTTCTAACTAGGAGAACTTTTACAGTCTTTCCTCTTATTCATGAAGAAGGGTGCTTGTGCAATTAAAGAATTTTTTTTTGCAAAAATCTAGTTGGTCTCATAAAAGATATCACCTCTACCACAAGTTCTGATTCCTTTTATCATAGGAGGTATATTTGCCTTCAGTTTCTGGGGTGGGGGGTGTCTTCCACAGCAAAAGTGGGGACTAAGTCTCCTGTAGCTGCTTTTTAAAATGTGTGCATTCAAGAGTTCTAAGGAGGGCAGGCTGGCAATATTACTAACACTTAAATACATGCTTGTAAATAATATTGTTGCCAACTATTTGCTTCCGAAATGCCTCCAAAGTTCCCCCACACAATAATTCTCTGGGCACCGCAGTGATAAACCTGGCTCAAGCCATACTGTTGTCTGTAGTTCATCTTTTAAAACGAATTGGAAATCAGGGAACTGTACCTTGAAGAACAAGAACTCAGTTTCCCAGAATCCTTCAAAAGAAGGTGGAGTAACAGGCTGTCATTGGATGAAGCCGGCCATCTACGTAGGACTCAACAACCAGGGCAATGAAATATTTCAGACAGATGGATCTGTTGAGAGCCTTGTAGTTCAAACGGGCTCTGAATGTAATGGAACCAACCAAGCATGAAGAAATCAGGTAAAAAAACCCAAAAAACCAAACCCAAAACAGGGTGATTCTTTAGTGGTTACAGATCTGAGCCTAGGGGCACAAGATTGTGTGAGGCTGGGAGGAAATATGGCATTTAAAGTGTCTACAAGGAAGCTTTTCTACATTTTCAATTTTATTTTGCAAACTTGCTATCAACAGTTGTCTTTTTGTGGGCGCTGTTTCTTTAAAATACAATAAAAACCTGTGTAAGCCAAATGTTTACAGTGGCATACTGCAAATAGCAAGTAAATCTTAGCAGGCAACAGAATGAAAAGAAGCAGAGGAAGAACTTGAAATGCAGATTTGTAAAAAGCCTTAATTTTTCCACATAGATATCTAAATGCAGCATGCATGTGTGTATGTGTCTGTATAAAGTAAGTCTGGCGCCTAAACAGGCCTAGTTTAATAGAAAGATACCAGTCCCAATTCTAAAGAGTTTACAATCTAATTTTAGATGTGATGAGATGTAGGTAACAAGAAGCAGATGAAGAGAAGGTCAAGGGTGCAATAGGATTGTACGGTTACTCAGTTTAGGCATGTGCATTTCTGGACTGTTCATCTGAAGTTGTTTCTTATCCTAACTTCAAAATTTTTGACTTTGCAATGTAAACAACACTTTTTAAATACAGATTTTCTATTTAACTTCTACAAGAGGGGAGGGGGAGGATGTTTTAAAGGGGAAAGGCAAATTCTGTTACAAGCCACTAGAATACTCTTTCCCTCATATTGCATTTGAACATGAACAATCAGAATCACAGGGCTAGCTACATTACTTGGTTTCAAAAGACTTCTTACAAGAAAAAGATTGGTTGCTTGGTCCACATGCTAGGAACTCAGACCTGCTCCCTGTCCTGCTCCAGAGGTTGTGGAGGTCCTGCTCTATGTAATACCCCTAGAACGGGAAGATAGAGCCACATGCTGGGTCTGGACAGAAATGTGAATGGGGGGCTAGGAGAGGGACTCTGTCCAAGTTCTCCATCCTCCCTAATCCAGCAGCTGCTAGGCATCCCCAATACTGATTGTGCTGCTGCTTCAGTGGCACTGTGAACCTAGCAGTTGAATGAATATAGGGTGTTAGAACATCTAAAAAATGAAAAGATTTGGACTGAAAACTGTTAAATCAGTCTTATATATGGGTTGCTACTAGCTCTCTATAATTACACTGATTTAATATGCTTAGTTCAGTATAATATTGAAATCGGGCTATACATGTTGTATAGACATCATTTGCCATTTTACATATTGCATCATGAAGCGCACAATAAATATGACTTTACTAAGTGGCAACCATTAGATACCTATTAACAAATGTTATCAAGCCTGTCAGAAGACTCAAAGACCACCTGTTCTTTGAAGTGTTAAAACCATTGCTTTTGTTTTCTAACAAGTTAACTTATATGTAGCAATTACCCATTCAAATTCACTGCTTGGAAGCCAGCATCTATCTAGATTCTTGTGTCTCAGTTAAGACATTTTAGATGACTGAACCACACAACCCCAGGGGTTTGGGGCTTGTAGCTGAAAGGGGCTAGTGTGAGATACTGAGCACGTCCTAGGATCAAATCCATTATGCCTTTTGGAGAAATCACCACCAGAGACATTGGGAGGCATGCAATAGTGGAGCACCAGGACTTGCAGTCTTTTGAACAGATCCCACCAACAGAGAAGGGGTGACCAGGGCAGCAGCCTACTTCCCTGTTTGATTCCATGGTTATAAGGAAAATAGGATGCAAGTCAAGGGTTGGATAAGGGCAAACTCTCCCTAAGCCTGAGGAAGGGCATTTGTGCCCAAAAGCTTGCAAAGAACAATTTATCCAACTATTTAGTCGGTCGAATAAAAAATATCACATCTACCCAAAGAACCTTGTTTGCCAAGGGTTGGGCAAGACAGCCCACAGGCAGGACTGCTTCCGCTGTACGAGCCAGAGGGAGCGGTGGAGGCGGTATAAGCTCTAGACAGGGTTGGCAGGTTCTGAGTCAGGGATGAGGATTGGGGCTTGCTACAGCTCCGGGACAGGGGGCGGTGTCAAACCAGTGTATAGCTGGGAAAGAAAATTATATTCAAGGATATGAATCAGGGTATGCTGGAGCTCAGGGGAGGGGTGGAGGATAGGATAAGGACCTGCTACAGCTCCAGGGACAGTGAGGAGGGAAAGATGTGGCCCTGGAGAGGACACCACTCATGTGGTCCTCAAGAGCACACCAAAACTGATTAAGTGGTCCTCCAGCCAAACATTGTAAGTTGCCTCCCTTTCAACAACAGGACTGGAAGAAAGGAAGCAAGAAAAAGTAGCTGCAATTTGCCTTCCTCTCCTTTCTCATGGCAGGGAGTAAACCACTAGCCACCACTTAGGGAGACCACCAAAGGACAGGTTCCCTCAGGTGCAGAGCCCCAAGTAGTATTATACCTAAACTGCTGCTTCTAGGCAGAGATTTGATGATTTACTGAAATATATTTGAAGTAAAATGTTCTAGTCCTAAAATAGCACACAAAGAACTTGTTTGTCAAAGTACAATAGCTCACAATAGGTCAGATCTATCACTGTTTGATTTCAATGCCATGTAACCAGTCAGCATTTTCTTTAATCCCTGGTGCTGTGGTGCAGGGACTGCAAGCATTTGACCAACTAACAGGTGTTTAATGAAAACTTAAAACATTCCCATTCTTCCTCTCTGCTCTGTTTCTAGTGTCCAAGATGAAACAATGGACAAAATGAAATTTAAGAAGTGCAGCCAAATTGCTTTTTACAGGTAGGGGTTTGGGCTCCAGCTCAAGTGTATTTCTCACACAGACCACATTTGATTTATTTTCATTTTACCATGTGGACCTTTATAACAAGGGAATATATTTTTTAAATCTGATACTGAAGTTATGTCTGAAGTTATCATGCATTGGTTTTAAACTATTAAAGTACACAGTTTGTCAGTTTGTGAATTAATATACTTTTCAAGGAAAGCTTTACATCTACCTGCAATATCATTTTTGGAAACAGTATATTCTAAATAGAGAGTAGGGCAAAATCCAAGGCATTTCTCACCCCCTCCCCCCAATTCCTGAAAACGCTGGATATCTCCATATAAAAAAGCCCATACAGTTTTTAATACTGAGTAGAATTAGAAAAGGCTTGTACAAGATCCAGAACACATCTGCGGCTCTAGATGGCAGAAAATTCAAGAGAACAGTTGGTTGTGTGGTATTTCTACATACTTGACACTGAAGTTTTGTGGAAGTAGCTAACAAGATTATAGTAATGTTGAACAGGAACTGCAGATAAACAATTTTTCTTCAGACCTGAACTCCATACCCTATTATCCTGATAAAGTACTCCAATATTAAATACCCTCTTCTAATCGCATCTCTAACTGAGATCTATTTGCCAGTTATCCACTCTTATCTGAAGAGTAGTAGCTTTCCCTAGTCTAATTAGCACATAAACATATGGGATTACATTTTTAATCTTCAATGCCTGTTTCTCATTTACAAAAAGGCCCATTAAAGAAGCCCAAGCCTACTCCCATTAAGGGAAGTGGTTATTATTATCAGTGGCAAAAATTTCAAACTGGGCTTTTATCAGCATGTTGTGTGACCTACTCTACTAGTAACTTTCCAATGAGTCATTTTCAGCTGTTACAGATATGTCAATTCCTTTCTGGGTTATGTTTTTAAAGACAGCATATGAAAAACAGTATTTCTCTGCAATTTAAACCTAAACATTAATGAAATTAAGGCAGAAGAGGTCAAAACAACTGAACAGAAGAGCCTGTCAGCCTCAGAGATGGAAACATCTCTCAGCAGCTAATAAACTCTTGGCACTAGGCCTCAATAGGGAGTAGCCTCCTAACAGTTCAGAAAAATCATTGCCTCAGATAAACAGACACCAGTGTAATCATGTTCAACTGTCACTTAAGACAGTGATTACTGCCTGGGGCAGTCTAACCAGCTCCCTCCTCTTGTTTATATAGCCTAACCCTAGGGCGGCACAGGACACTTGAGTACAGCCATGCAGCTGTGGGCTCAAGACCATCCCTTAAAGGCTAATATATTTGGTCACATAGACAGTTGCTCCACTGCCGGTGGAAGGCAGCAAAGGTTGGACCCAAGGACACAGCCGTTTATGACAGGAAGTGAAGCAAGCTGTGTGCAGTTGAAAACTGTTGGGGAAATTTAGGAAAAAAGAATGAAACTGCACAACTTGAAACTCCACCAGGGCATTTGGGTTAATCTTGTTATTGCAGAATTAGGGCAGTGAAACTTCCAGTTTCTACGAGTGCTCCAAACCACTAATTTGCATCTTTTCAGGGGGTTTTTCTCTTTGCATAGCACCTGGCATAGCAGGGCCTCCTGTCCTGATTGTTTCTCGGTGCTGTAAATAAATGAACAAAAATACCATAATTACTTGAATCCACAACAACCTCTGAAATTAAGACAATCCCCCCCAATAATTAGATTATGTATATGGAAAATGTATTAATTTGATATAATTTTCCACATATGGAATCTAATTATAGGAGGATCATCTCAAATTTGTCCCATCTCTCCCCACTATGACACAGCAAGCAGTGGCCAGGGGAGAAGGTAGAGAGGGGAAGTGATAGGGGAGGCAGTAGTGGCGTAGGCAGAGGGGGGCAGGTGGTAGAAGGACAGTGGGGAGGGCAGGTGGTAAGGGGGCCAGGGAGTCAAGCAGCACATGCCCCCACCCCTTCCCTGGTGCCTGCCCCCTGTGTACCTTCCCTCCCTGCCACTTGCCCCCCTATGTTTTCTCCCCCTGACACCTGCCCTCCCCTCCTCCTCCTCATCTATCTGTCCCCTGGCTCCCCATTTGTCTGCCCCCCACCCCCGCTGCCTCTGCCTCCACATCTATCCCCCCTGCCATCTCCCCGCATAGCATCTGCCCCACCCACACCCACACCCACCACCTGCCTCTCCCTGCCATTTACCATCTGGCTTTGGAAGGCTCTGCCCCACTCCAGCCTGGGGTGCAAAGCTCATGCTTGTTCTGGCCCCAGCCCAACCCAGCAGTGCTACAATAGCAGCTGTTACCAGCCAGGCTGAGACTGGAGCAAGCACATGCTCCATGCCCTGGAGTGAGCTGGATAACAAGTGGTAGGGGGCAGCAGATGGGGGAGGGGGAGGGGGAGGGTAGTGGATGCAGGAGCAGGGGAGGGCAGTGGCAGGCAGGGAGAAATGGAAAGCCAGAGGCGACAGCAGAAGGAACAGACTGAGGGGGGCACAAGTGGGCTCAAAACCATCCCTTAAAATGATCACAGCCAGAGCCACAGCAGCTCCATGTGAAATGGAGGGGAAAACCTCATTTGGGAATTGAGTGCATATAATAATATCTCTGACACAAAGAAAAGTGAGCTGGTAGAATTCTAACAACATGAATATGATCACAATCTGTGTGGTACTGTTTCTAAATATTTTTGTGAATTGAGCAGTATTTTGTTACATCCCCACATTTTTACAAATAAAGATGGAGCAAATTGAAGAAGCAAAGTCTTAGCAGGAAAACCACATTCTTAATGAGCCAACAAGTAGTTGCATGGGATTGTTGACACGTGTGCTGTTTACAAACATTAAAGATAACATACTTGCTATTGTTTAGTTGTAACCATATTGATAATTAGGCC